GGAAAAGCGCTGTATAAAAATGTGACCATTGACCATATCAGTCGAAGTCTAGTAAACGCTGACAAAAAAAAAAGGTTTTAAGATCGTCAGAAAATTCAAGGAAAAAATCCAAAATGAATTTAAATGACACATCAGAGCCTGCCATCAATCCAAGAGTTCATGGTTCTGTTTAGGAGTTTACTTTTCAACAAAAATGTGACAGTGACTAAATGGCAGTGTTGGGAAGGTGACTTTTAAAATGTAATCCCCTACAGATTACAGATTACATCCCCCAAAATGTAGTTTGTAACATAATCCATTAAATTACTTAAAGTGAGTAATGTAATCTGAATACTTTGGATTACTTGATTTGTTGTAGAGAAGCAAAGACGAGGAAATCTTCACATAAGATGTTTTGTCTGATAAAAGAAAATAAAAAGCCCAGACTTTACTGAACCAAATTAAAAATATTATTGATAGAAGACGAGGAGACACGTCCACACAGCAGGATTTAGTCCTGTTAAATCCTGTTTTAGACCTGGTTTAGACCTGGTTTAGTCCTGGTTTAGTCCTTGTTTTAGACCTGGTTTAGTATCTGGCAATGAGTAGAATTATCAGGGGAAAAGAAAGAAAGAAAAAAAAAGGAATTTAGCCCGAAATGTGAAAACAGGAAAATACATTTCCTGTAATCCATTTATTTCAATTAAGTAACTGTAATCCAATTACCACTCACTGAAACAGTAACTGTAACTGAATACAGTTAGTCATCATTTGTAGCTAGCTATCTTGTGACTGTAATTTTATGCGTGAGAAACACAAATCAACTCCAGACAGAGCAGTGCCTACAGTTAGCTTCACAACCCCAGGGGATGTTGACCACATGGGCTGCAGAGTATCAATTGCAGCCTTTAATCAGGTACATTCTCTTTAACAGTGCTCTATTTGTGTCTTTATCATGAAAAACAGAACTCGTTTCTTTCTGTTTACAGTGATCCAAAGTTCCTCCTCACTTCCCTTCTACATTCAGAGCATCCATCTTATTCACCACAATGACTTTATAAACACTTTTCACAACTCTTAACGTTAATGTCAGGTAATGCTAACAACAACTAGCATGCTAACAGTACCCTTCCTGATTCTCTGACAAGAAAATACTTCCTCAAGAGCTGCTCAGACAATATATCTGCACTGAGACATTTACGTAACTGAAGAGGAGAAACACAAGAAGCAACACAACAAGAAGCTTTCATAGTACCACAGTTTGAGAAATAATAACATAGTACATGTATACATTACAAATACAGGAAGTACTTACATGGGTCATTTTTATAGGGGTCTGTTGTTGTTGTTGCTGTTGTTGTTGCTGTTGATGGTGTTGGTGCTTTTACAAAAAAAAAAAAGGACAAAATATGTTAATGATTGATTCAATAAAAACATGATAGTATACTTTATAGTTTATTTAAAAGTGCATTGTGTAACTTTTTGGTGGAGGTTCTGTCAAATGCTTGTCTCCATGGTAGTAAACCTTTCTAAAAAAAAACAAAAACTGACCGACACAATCAGAATGTCTGTTTTTCAAGGTATTTCTGAGCAATAAAACCATTGGAAATGGCATAAATATGAGGCAGGCCTGTTTAATGTCATACTGTGGAACATTTTAGGCAGAGCAGTGACATCTCCATGGAAACAAGCAGCTGACCCCCAACCATAAAGTTACACAACGTACCTTTGAGTAAAGTTAAGTAACTAACACACCAACAACTAGACTACAAATTAAACTGACCATTCTCAAATGGATGTGTTCTAAAAGATTAATTATAATTGATCAATATGCAGAAATGTCTATAGTTAGTTTTCATTTATGAATAAATACACTTGTAACCATCTTTTCAGTCTTTTTGAATAGTCTAGTTATTGCTAAACCCTTTACTTGGTGTTCAAAAGTGGGACCTGTTTTTATTTATTTTATTTAATAATAACTTAACCTCCTGGAACCTGAACTCTTACATGGTTTTATTGATTTCTCTTTGTTATTTGGGCTGATTGGACCTGATGAGAGCAAAAACAAAGAATTATATTGTTATAATATTTTTATATCTATATGTCCACATATGATTTATAAAACATTCATTTTATGTTTGAATCATTTTGATGGAACACAATAAAGTCACAGTTGAATAATGATTTGCAAAAACTATTTATGAAGTGCCTGAACATCCCAAAATGTCTTGAACATAGTCCAGGTCCCAGAAGGTTAAAGTGCTTGTGATTTCTCTAAAACAGAGGTCTCCAACCTTTTCCTCCGGTGAGCTCCTTTACAAAACAAAAATGCCAGAGGGTTACTCATTTTACCGGCTGCAAGAAACTGAGATGATTATAAGAAAGATGGTGAACCTTTGGATAAAGTTAGATACCTATAAACCATTGTTTCCCAAAGATTGGGTTGCGACCCTCACGTTTGTCGCAGGAGATTTTTTTGGGGTCTCCTTGTCACAATCTGCATGTAGGTCTGTAATATACAGTTCTGCCTATACTCCTGATCTGCTGCTGCGTCTCCTCCTGCACCTATCTCACTAGAGATAGATACATGTTCAAATGTTAAGACATGTTTTGTATCATTTCTAATCTTTTTGTAATGATTTTATTGACTCTTTTGTTCCAATATTGCTGGTTCAATTGAATGTAGAAAAGAAAAATAAATGTTTTACATTTAATGTCCAAACAGGCGACTTCTGGATTCTTTTATTGCTGCTTCAGTGATTGTTTTTCATTGTTTCAAACTGGAGTAAAACTAATAGTTCAGAGACACGATCACTCATCAACAATAAAATATCCTCATTCATGTTCAATAATCCAAATCCACCTTTATTGTGTGATTTATGAATAATGTTTATTGACTTGGATCGTGAAGGTTTGTGACTTTTAAAATATGGGTCTCGTGAAAAAAAGTCTGAGAAACACTGATATAAAACATAAGTCACTGCTCATTTATTCATGCACAAAGTTGGGCTTCAAAATGATACATGAACAATGGTAGTAGGTATGTAATTAACCAGATTTTTTGTTATTCAGCACAATAGTATAATTCCAGAATCCCTTGGTGAGCTACTTGGAAGTGGGTGGAGAGCTACTGGTGGCTCCTGAGCTACAGTTGGAGACTCCTGCTCTAAAACAATTTTTTTTTAGTTTTGTCATTTTGGTGAAGGTTCTAATTTTACTTCCTGGTTTGAGACAAGCAGCAGATGGGAGATAATATAGAGGTACTGTAGGTTACCTAGCAACCAAAATAATAACAAGGGCCAAAACCTGTCTGAATAGACCTTTTCACAGCGGCCGGAAGTACAGCCTTAGTGTGTAGCAGAATATTTGCTCAGTGCTTTTCAATGGTAAAATGTGTGTGTAAATGTGTGTGGTATTCTCCAGCAGCTTCATAAATCTGCCCCATCACAAATCTTCAACCATCAAGGTCCACAAAGGATCAACATTCCACAACTATCAAGGTAAAAAATGCAAAAGCTTAAAGGCGAACGGCGATCAGCATTAGTGAACTACTGAGCAAAACTAACACTATGGTCATGAATAAAACAGAAGAAACTTAGGCTACGTTCAGACTGCACCTGAAGTGAGCCAATTAATCCGATTTTTTGGCCCCATGTTCCTGTATCTGATCTTTTAATGACAGTCTGAACCACACAGATCCATTTTTTTTTTTTTCAAATGTGACCCAGGACACTTGGATATATGCTCCTAAAACTGATACATATCTGATCTTTAGACATGTGACTTCAGTGTGAACGGCCAAAGCACATTCATCCACCTACATGTTATCAACAAGACACAAACGTCACTGTTCTGAGCTGAAGTAGGCAAAAATTGTTAATGAACTCCATGTCACTGAAGTGAAGCACATCACCACTCATCACTCTTGACTACGTCTCCGCATCTACACGTTCCTTTTAACGTACTGTCCCACAAAACACCACGGCCAAAAACCTCGTCCTTCTCCTTCTCAATCTCCTTAAAACAAGTAAGTTGTTCATGTTCTGGCTTCGGTACGAGAGGAACTTTAAAATCTCCAGGTGCTCAATGCTGCGTCCATGTTTGGACAACTTCTGTAAACACAGAGACGCTCGCTGCGGTCGACGTCATCGTGTCTCCAGTGTCACATGTGGGACACTTTTGGGCCGTTTAATGTTCACACTGGAGTCACATACAAGTCACATTTAATTGGAAATGTGAACGACCTCGAAAAAACATTGGATTTCACAAAAAAATTCAAATTGAGCGTTAAGCCCTGCTGTCTGAATGTAGCCTTAGAGTAGAAAGTACAGATACCTGCTCTCAAATGTAGTGAAGTAAAAAGTATCCAGTATTATTATTATATATATTTTTTTTTTACTATAGTACTTTACTACTTGTCCTTGGTTCAGCACTGTGTCTGTGTCAAACTTACTGGAGTTGTTGGAGGCAGGGCTCTGAGATCCAGTGGAGTTGTTATCTGAGTTGATTACCTGGGATGCTGTATTAGAGTCTGTGGAGGAAGGGGGCGGTTGGGATGGTAAGGAGCCAGGGTCTGGGGGGAGGAAACAAAAGATCACTTGATATTTTCATGTTGAAATTTGGTGTCTGATGAAAAAAGTTCTATATTCCATAAAACAGATTCTTGTGAGCTGTGAGCCGTGTTAATGTCACCTCCTGGAGTTGTGTTTTGTTTCATTCACACGTCTGATTAACCTTTTATTATTAGTCTGTCAACATCTCCAAAGCTCCAAATGCTCTGTTCTACCTTGTGATGTCATAGAGCAGTAGTTTTTAAGTGAACAGCTCTTTTTACTTTTTAGTTCAGTAGAGATTGGACATACAAGAGCTGAAATGATCAAAATGATTCTAGTGACAGTGTATCGAGTTTAAAAACACAGTGGAGTACTTCCTGTATTACCTGTATTATGACATCACAAGGTGGAACGGATGTTTTCTGTCTGAGAGAAGAAAACACAACTCCAGTTCCGTTTGTGATGAGGAAACTACATTAGACAGATCAGAAAATATCTTCAGTGTCGATAGTTTGCATTGACATCAGTCTGGGGGTGTTCTACATGTATGTTTGTGGCAGAATATTCATTAGTTGCCATGGTGACACAATGCACACATAGCAAACACTGTCAGGAATGATTTAAAATAGTCTGAAAACTCGAAAAAAAAGAAAAAATGGATTGAAGAGCACATTTTCAGGAGCGTGTGATCAGTGTGAGTGTTCATGGTTCTGTTTAAGAGTTTGATTTTACACTAAAAGGTGAGTGACTCACTGACCAACTGTTGGCTAAAGTTTGTGTCATTTTATTTGAGAGAGAATTGGTTAACCTCACACATTTGGATTATAAGTCACACTTTTTTCATGGTTTGGGTGTTTCCTGCGACTTATACTCCAGTGCTACTTATGTACTAAAATGTTCACACTGAGACGTGAGAAGACGCTCTAGTCTTGTGTGTCAGTATCTAGTACTACTATTACTCCTGTACCACTGTCACTTCACTCTACTGGTAAGAAATGATAAGAAAGTTCGGAGTGAGCGAGAAACTTGTGAGGGACTGGTGGAAAGCGAGGATGGAGAACAGAGCTTCACGGCAACCGAGTGCACCGTGTAACTTTCCTGAAGTCACTGGATGGATGGACAAAGTCTGGACTTCAGTGACACCGAAACCATCCTGTCAGGATTCAGAAAGACCGGAATAGTTCTAACTGGAACTGATGCTGAGTCTGACGACAGCGACACAGAAGAGGAAGTGGTGCTTTGTTTACCTCCAGAGATCACCGAATTGTTCAGAAGTGACACCAAGGATGAAGAATTGAATGGATTTAGTGATTTGGAGTGAGATGGAGAGTTTGGTAAACTTGTTCTGTTTCTGTTGTTTATGTTATAATTTATCTGAAGAACTGTTCATATGTGACGTTAACCGTCTGTTGTTCTCTCTTCTATTGTTATTACTAGAACTTGACTTTCAACAGGAAATGTCGATTCCTGGTTTCTGATTTCATAAAATACATTTTCCCCAAGTGCAAGTTATATATGTTTTTTTCTTCTTCATTACACATTTTTTGGCTGATGCTACTTATACTCCAGAGCGACTTATAGTCTGCAAAAAACTGGTCAGATTGTGTTAAAACAAAGCTCAGATTAAAGTCTAATTTGGGTAACAGAGCTTCAGCAATAGTATTTTCATAGAGACAAGCAGGCAACTTTCCAGAAGAAAAGTTAGTACAGTAATAAAAAAATAAATAAAAATTATTACTCAATACTAGCAATTTTTGGGGCTACTTTTTATTTTTTGAGCTCAGTTTTTAACATCACATCATAGAATTTTAACCAACTAAGAAGTGCAGCATGAGGAGTTCAGAGGACACGAGTGAGGGACTGTTGGATATTGTGAAATTAACAGAGGTGTAGCGCCAAATTCTGGGCCCTAGGTACAAATCATTTTGTGGGCCCAGACTACTTTGACTACTTTTTAACTCTCCACCATTTTTCTTACTAATACTGCGCAGTAAGAAGTCTAACAATGTTACGATCAAATACACTATGTTACTAAAGAAGAGTAGTACTTCTTCAAATCCCTGTTAGTGCAAAGAAAAGATACACACAATATTGACTGACCCTGAGAAAGTATTGTTCTTTCATAAGTGTATATAATAATTCTGGTGACAGGATGTGTTTTCTTGTGTGTATGTACTTCCTCACGGGGCACGTACATGAGCTGTGCCCCTCCCTCACAGCAGGGGAGAGGTCACTCACATTAAACCACATTAGTTTCACTTGTGGCCTAACGTGGTGGATTAGTGCGAGGGACGAGGGAAGACAAGACATGAGCTCATTTAGATAGACTGTCCAGAAAAAAGACACCAACTAAGAAGTGCAGCTCTGAAATTCATCAGCCTTTTTACGCCAAATATGACAAAAGACGTTCCAGAGAAAACAAGAGGCGACAGGAGACGGTGATGCCCGGGCTTCAGAAGAGAGCGGAGCAGCATTTCACATTGTCTAACTTAAATAATGTCTGCATTTGGAAAACACACTTTACAAATGACACATCTGTTTCCAGTGAGTTATTGAGGCACTGACAAACCAAAAAACAAAATGATCTGAGTGAATGCTATGCCAACAGAACCACAGAATGAGTCTGGTGATGGTTTATTGGTTTAAAATCTGCATCAGACTTTTACCTATGACGCAACAAAAGAGGCAAAAAGCAAACTGAGCATTTTTGAAGCTCGAAGAACATGATTTTAGATTCATGGAACAACTGTAAATGAAAGAAAATACAAGTCCAGGCTTGTGTTTGACGAGGGGACAAAAGTATAATAGGGCTAGAAAAATTAATTTTGGGTAATATCTGTTTTGAAAATCAAATTTTTTTTATTTTTATTTTTTTTAGGATTTTAAAATAATAAGTAAAATTTTAACAATAAAAAACAATAATAAAGGGAAAAAAAAAACAAAACATACATACCTGCTGTACTCTGACCTGCAACAGAAAGAGAAAGAGAAACAAAATGAATACAGGGCATCATCATATTAAAGATACATTATGTAACTTTTCAGGGTGCCATGGTTGCAACCTTCTTGTGTTCATGGAGCTGTAATTGTTTTGCCTGGAATGTTCCACGGTATGGCATACAAATATATTATCTCTCACCATGGAGACAAGTAGGTGATACACAAGTTTAGTTTAGTTTAGTTTAATTTAATTTGTAATTCAAACACCTCGACTTGAGTATGTTCCAGACAAAACAACTCAGCATGTGCTTGAAACAAAAATGGCGGCTTTGCTGATAACATTCTTCCCCGAGTTGAAGGTGTGAAAAAAAAAAAACATGAAATACATTGTGACCAAGTTGCCGTGACGGTAAAACAAAGATTTCAGCGTCTCTATTTCAGTCAAACCACAACATCCTGCAGAGCTGCTTCCCCTTTTCAGTCGCCCAAACGTCAGCGCGCTTCACTTCACCAGGCTCTGCTCGCTTAAAGCTGCACTGTGCAACTTTTCTGGTGGAGGCTCCGGCAGAAGCTTTTCTCCACTAAGATGTTATCGCTTTGTCTGGAATGTTTCACCTGTTAAACCTTTCTATCTTCATGGAGACCAAACCAGACCAAGTTAACAGGTCAGATCTGTGGAGAGGCGACCCACTCACAGTCAGAATGCCCAGGTTTTTTTTTTTTTTTTTTTAAGTATTTTTGAGCTATACCTGTAGTCAGTGTTGGGGAGTAACAGATTACATGTACCAGAGTTACGTAACCAGAGTACAAATTATGAGTAACTGTATTCAGTTACAGTTACTGTTTCAGTTACTTTGTTGAAATAAATGGATTACACGGTGATATGTTCCTGATTTAATTTTGGGGGTAATTCCACTCACTGCCAGACACTAAATTAGATCTAAAACCAGGACTAAACCAGGTCTAATACCAGGACTAAACCAGGACTAAAACCAGGACTAAAACCAGGACTAAACCAGGTCTAAAACCAGGACTAAACCAGGACTAAACCAGGTCAAAAACCAGGACTAAACCAGGACTAAACCAGGACTAAAACCAGGACTAAACCAGGTCTAAAACCAGGACTAAACCAGGACTAAACCAGGACTAAACCAGGTCAAAAACCAGGACTAAACCAGGTCTAAAACCAGGATTAAACCAGGACTAAACCAGGTCTAAAACCAGGTCTAAAACCAGGTCTAAAACCAGGTCTAAAACCAGGACTAAACCAGGACTAAACCAGGACTAAACCAGGACTAAACCAGGACTAAAACAGGACTAAACCAGGACTAAACCAGGACTAAAACAGGACTAAACCAGGACTAAACCAGGACTAAAACCAGGTCTAAATCCTGCTGTGTGGACGTGTCTCCTCGTCTTCTATCAATAATATTTTTAATTTGTTTAAGTAAAGTCTGGGCTTTTTATTTTCTTTTATCAGACAAAACATCTTATGTTACGATGTCTTAGTCTTTGCTTCTCTACAGCAAATCAAGTAATCCAAAGTATTCAGATTACATTACTCACTTTAAGTAATTGAATGGATTACATTATAAACTACATTTTGGGGGATGTAATCTGTAATCTGTAGGGGATTACATTTTAAGAGTCACCTTCCCAACACTGCCTGTAGTTGAGTAAATGTAAAGTCGAGCTGTTTAATGTCACACTGTGGAACATTCCAAGCAGAGCAATGACGGATTTATAGAAACAAGAAGATGACGAATCCCCTACCAAAAAGTTTTTTTTTTGTTTTTTTTTTTTTGTTTTGTTTTTTACAGTAGATTCAGAAAGTGGTGTCATGATTCAAACCTAAAAAATGCAAACTGCACAGACTTGATGTTATAAGATTTATATAACATGGGAAGTTTGTGGAGCCAGTGGAAAACAAACACTGATAACATTTGTGGATCATTTGTTTGGAGATTTCCTTGAATATCCCAGAGTTTTATAAGCCCCTAAAACATGAACACACAAACTTTCACTTCTGCCTCACCCCAGCAGTGTGAAAATACATTTACCAGCAGTTTTTTGTTCACTTTTTTTACTTTTGCTGATGAGTTTTTATCAGCACTTGCACATGTGCTTCACTGTACTTCACTTCAGTACATTTAGAGTATATACTTTTTACTTTTACTTCACTACATTTAAGAGCAGGTATCTCTACTTCAATTCAGTACATTTAGAGTGGGTACTTTTTACTTTTACTTCACTACATCTGTACTTTACTTGTGTACATTTAGAGTATATCATTTTTACTTTTACTTCACTACATTTGAGATCAGGTATCTGTACTTTACTTTAGTACATTTAGAGTATATACTTTTTACTTTAACTTCACTACATTTGAGAGCAGGTAACTGTATTTTATTTCAGTACCTTTGGAGTAGGTACTTTTTACTTTTACTTGACTACATCTGTACTTTACTTTAATACATTTAGAGTATACACATTTTACTTTTACTTCACTACATTTGAGATCAGGTATCTGTACTTTACTTTAAGTACATTTAGAGTACATACTTTTTACTTTTACTTCACTTCAGCACATTTAGAGTATACACATTTTACTTTTACTTCAATACATTTGAGAGCAGGTATCTGTACTTTACTTTAAGTACATGTAAAGTATATACTTTTTACTTTTACTTCACTACATTTGGGAGCAGGTATTTGCAGTTTTTATTCTATATTTTTTTTGAAACTGGATTTATTTTGAAAAAGTAAAAATATTTTTAATCATCATTTTGAACAAACCTTGCTGAAATTTGGCTGAGGGTTTATTTGAAAAAATTTACTGTTACACAATAGTTTGCAAAAAAACTTACAAAAAAAAAGTTTGTTTTTACTTTTTTTAAAAAATGTTTCTTGTAACAAAATTTAAGAAAATCTAAGAACATCACTTAAACTCCCTCTGTCACTTTTCTCAACAGTGTCAAGAAAATTCTGCTGATGCATTCTACAGCAATGATCAGCAGTTTTTACTTTTTTTTTAAAAACAGTTTTTTTTGTTTCTATATGAAGATTTGCACATACAAAACACTGTAAAAACAATAGAGAAGTTAAAATTACCCAAATTAAGAACTTGTTTACTCCACCAACGCAACATTTCAGTAGCTTTTTTTGACCTAATCTTCCTGACAGTTAGCACAAAGTTTGTTGCAATGGCAGATTCAAATCCAACATTAGCCGCAAAAGAAAGTGTTTCTTATTTGAAAGAAGAAGACAAGGGGAAACAGCGAAGCCAAACTAAGGTGATTCTTGTAGATTCATTCATATGGCGCGACTTAAGCATAGCACTAAAGACTGACGCATTGGTCGCCAAATTACTCCTGGACAGGTAACTTCTGCTTATTATGAAAAACTACTTTATTTCCAAGAGCTAGTCAAACGTTTTTTCAGGACACGAAAGCGATATCCTATGTCTGAAAACGTAATTTTCAAGGAAAGAAAGAGTCCGCTTCTGCTGCGTGTTGTAAGCTAGTTCTCGCACTGAATCTCCGCGCAACCTTCTCTGCTCCCCTTTCCTACTCCTGTCCCCGCTGCCCGTTCCGCTCTTCCCCCTTCTCCTCACTTCTACGGGCACGGAATCTCCGCGACCGTCCCCTCTCCTCTCTCTCTCTCTCCTCTCCCTGCTCCGCTCTTCTCCCTGCTCCTCACTTCTCGTCCGCGAACGAAATGTCCGCACACCCGCTCCCCCCGCTCCTCACTTCTCCGCCTTGCCTAACAACACTGTAGTTGGACGTCATGTGCAGCCACCGGCTGTAAACACCTGTTTCTGGCGAAAGAGGAGGCAGAAGGCGTCTACGTACACTATATATATATATATATATATATATATATATATATATATATATATATATATATATATATATATATATATATATATATATATATATATATATATATGTGTATATATATATATATATATATATATATATATATATATATATGTGTGTGTGTGTGTGTGTGTGTGTGTGTGTGTGTGTGTTGTGTTGTGACTTGTATGTCATACAGTTTTTTTGTTTTTTTTTTCTATTGTTTTGCATGTTGGTAAAATAAAAATATTCATAATAACAATAATAATAATAATAAAAAAAGTACCATCTGCCTCCATCACACACACACACACACACACACACATGCACACACACTCACTCACAGGTCAGGTGATGGACACAAAAACATATGGCTATATATATTGTTGTTGTTTTTCCTATTAAATTATTCCTATTCCTATAGTCCTTGCCATGAAATAACCAAACCAAACCAAGTTACAGGTCAGATCTGTGGAGAGGCGACCCTGCTCACAGTCACAATGTCTGTTTTTCTAGGTATTTTTGAGCTATAAAACCACCTGTTATTGAATAAATGTAACCATAGATACAAAACTAATTTCCTGTGAAATAATGCAAAAAAAAAAAAAAAAAAAAAAAGCAGGTAGGTAGGTAAAATAGGTATCTGTACTTTTACTTAAGTAGATTTAATAAGTAGATTTCTATTTTGCTGAAAAGGCTCAGAGTTTATTTTTTACACATTCATAATTTGAGCAAACAAAAATATACAAAAAGAAAAACAGAAAGAAAAAAATCACAAAATGACTACATTTGAAGCTTCATTAGATCTGAAAACTTGCATGAAATACTTTTACTTTTTATTCTTTGAGTACATTTGAAACAGGTACTTTAATACGTTTACTTAAATAGGTTTTTCATCTGTACTTTTACTTTAAGGTGCATTGTGTAACTTTTTGGTGGAGTTTTCTGGTTCATCAAACGCTTTTCTTTATGGAGATGTTATTGTTTTGTCTGGAATGTTTCACAGTATGGCATTAAATCTTTCTATCTTCATGGAGACTAAACCAGACCAAGTTAAATGTCAGATCTATGGAGAGGCGACCCCACTCAGAGTCACAATGTCTGTTTTTGAAGTATTTTTGAGCTATAAAACCACCTGTAATTAAAAAAAGAAATAAGATAGATCTGTTTA